TTTTTTTTTAAGAAAAAGGGTCTCTGCGGTCAGTGCGATCTCTCGAGATGGGGTCTCGCTCTTGCTCAGGCTGGTTTGGAACTGCTGAGCTCAAGCCGTCCTCCTGCCTTGGCCTCACAGAGTGCTAGGATTACAGGCATGAGCTACTGAGCCCAGCCTAAGTATTTCTTTTTATCAAAATGATGTGTCCACGTTGTTTAAATTAAAGCCATTCTCAGATTAATACTGTTGCTATGAGTATAAACACTTTCCAGGTGTACTTTTAGCCTGGGGAGAGGTGTGTATTGACATCTAGCAATATTAACATTTTTGATGGTCTATAATAGATGGTGCTGATGGGGAAACAGAAGTTGGAGAAGTACAACAGAATAAAACTGTCACTTATGATCTGTCGAAATTGGTAAACTATCCAGGTTTTAATATATCTACTCCCAGAGGAATTCCAGATGTAAGTATATTGGTTTTTTTTCCCTCTTGCTGGGAAATGACATTATTATGTTAAAGATTATTCAAAATATTAACTTATGTAGCAGTTATTGTTACATAAAGAAGTAAATTTGTTACTTACATGTTTAACTTTTTAATTTCCATTATGTTGACAAGAATCAAGTGAAATCTTGTATTCATCAAAATCAAAGTCTTTTCTGGTTTTAGGCCCTAAGCAAAGGAGCTAAAATAGATTGATTAGATTCTATAAATCTAAAACTATTCTGAAATTAAAAGATTTATTTAAATATAGATGGTTGTGAGGCAGTATTATAAACTTTACAGAATTACTTGGGAAATAAATTTTTGTCTGTAATACATCTAGGTATGCTATGACTCGTTTTTCTATTCTTTCTTGCCTTTTTCACCCTCAAAATAAAATTTCTCATTCTGTATATGAGTGGTTTTTCCAACTACTCTTTTCTAACTTTCATCTTGTTTCAAGATCCAACAATTGGCCGGGTGTGGTGGCTCACGCCTGTAATCCTAGCACTCTGGGAGGCCGAGGCAGGAGGATTGCTCGAGGTCAGGAGTTCAAAACCAACCTGAGCGAGACCTCATCTCTACCAAAAATAGAATGAAATTAGTTGTCTAACTAAGAATATATATATAAAAAATTAGCCTGGTATGGTAGTGCATGCCTGTAGTCCCAGCTACTCGGGAGGCTGAGGCAGTAGGATCACTTGAGCCCAGGAGCCTGAGGTTGCCGTGAGCTAGGCTGATGCCACGGCACTCACTCAAGCCTAGGCAACGAAGTGAGACTGTCTCAAAAAAAAAAAAAAAAAAAAAAAGATCCAACAAATAACTATTGTGTTGTTGTTTTATTAAAAACTATTCTTAGGACCTGGACAGCAGGGAAGAAGCCAAAGATTTGAATTTAGAATATAGTAAGCAAAGTGATGAATCATACAAGATAGTATGTAATTCATTAAGGGCTAAATTGCATGATACAAGCCATCTGGGCTTTTGGAAGTGGGTCCAAGTCTACATCAGAGTCCCTTCAAGGCACTTATTAGAAATGCATGTTCTTTTTTTTCTTTTTCTTTCCTTATTTTTTTTCCTAAGACAGGGTCTCACTCCGCTGCCAGGGCTAGAGTGCAGTGACATCATCATAGCCCACTGCATCCCCAAGTTCCTGGGCTCAAGTGATCCCCCTGACTCAACCTCCCAAGTATCTGGGGCTACAAGCACATGCCATCACGCCGGCTAATTTTTAAATTTCTTGTAGAGATGTGGTCTCAGTCTGTTGCTCAGGCTGATCTTGAACTCCTGGCCTCAAGTGATCTTTGGACCTTGGTCCCCAAAGTGCTGGGATTACAGGCTTGAGCCACTTCACCCAGCCAGAAATGCACATCGTTTGGTCCCACCTTTAGACTTAACTGACTCAGTGGACTCTGGAATCTGTATGTTTCACTAGAGCTCAGAGCAATTCTTTCTAAGAACACATGCCACCATGTGCAAGCCACTCTTGAATGTGCTCTTGGAGATGAAAGAGAAACAGTAATGTTGGACCTTGAGATCAGTTCTCTATTTGGAAAGAGAAAGAACAGAAGGTAGAAAATTCAGTGTAAGTAGGTTAGGAGAAGTTAACAAGTGCCTGGGCATGACGGGAGAGAGGCCAGAGCCAGGAAGGTCCAAAAGGAGTTGTTACTGCCTACAACTTCTGCTTGCAGTAGGTAGAACCTTTTTTAGCCAAGCATTACGTCAAGTAGTCTTTTTGTATTAAGTCATAGTTATTTTACGGGTAGGTCCCCCACCCCCCAAACATACCATTATTTTCTTTAATTTCCAGTGAGGAAAAGTCACATAAGAAGCAGGAATGTAATCTGAAACTCCACTCTACCTCCTTTGAGCAAAATCTCACAACATGACATTTTCTAAATACATGTTTTTCCCTTCTCTTTTCATCATTAGGAATGGAGGATGTTTGGTTCCATACCAATGCAGGCATGCCAGCAGAAGGATGTGTTTGCCAGTTTCCTTACTTCTAACTTCCAATCGGTAAATAGATTTTAAGGGTCTGGTCTATATAAAAATCTGTTGTGGATATCTGCGAGATTTTGTGATTCATTAGCATCTTGTTACCTCTTCTTGCTTTGTTATCTGATGAATCAAAAGGAAAACTAGCTAAATTCACCACTTACCTAGATCAAGCTTCAGATTGTTTTTCTACATCATTTAAGTGAAGGAATGGAGTTCCTTATCTAACCCATCTAACTTGTGTTTGGATTTCTCCTTTAGCCGAGTGTGAGGTCCAGCAGCAAGAGGTCTTCCTCTCAGTCCAGCCCATGCAGCCCAAAGAAGCAGAAGAAGGAAAGCAGCTCGGCAGCTTCCCTCACTGATATGGAGCTCGACTCAGGTAGGTTTCATCCTGGCTTTGATTTCATCGAGGAGGTAGAATGAATTTGTGTGCTCCTGAGTTCTTTGAGAAAGGGGAAACTCCTTTGTGAGCACTGACTAGATAGTAAATCTTTCTTTGATTCTTGGAGACCAGAGTATCACCACTATCACTGAGAAAAACTGAATTGGAATCAGGCATGGTGGCATGTGCCTGTAGTCTCAGATACTTGGGAGACTGAGGTAGGGAAATCTCCTGAGCTCAGGAATTTGAGGTTACTGTGAGCTGTGATCATACCACTGCACTCTAGCCTGGGTGATAGAGCGAGATCCTGTCTCTAAAAAAAAAGAAAAAATACATAAAGATGTCAGCAATATAAGTTGCCCTATATGTATATATGAACCCTGCTCCCATTTCAAATTCTTAGGGAGAACTTAAAGGTCATGGATTAAATCCCCTTAAAGCTCAAAGGCATTAAAGTCCAAAATCAAATTATTTTGCACAAGTGACTTCAAAATCAAAGCCCTCAAATTATTTTCCCAAATGTTTTACTCTGCTTAGTGTCAGTCTCAGGGTTAGAGTTCACAGCCTGGGCTTCCAGCACCTACAGCCCTCATTCTCCAGTCTCAGTTTTAACAAGGCCAAAGAGTTCATAGGAAACAAAATTATCCCAACCTTTGTCACACATACCTATGAAATTTTTAAAACAGATAATTCCTGAAAAGCGTATAGCCATTATCTCAGACAAAATTATGTTCCCAGAGTCCTGCACTTCTCAGTATTATCAACCACCATAGCCAAGACTCAGTGTTTTTTGAGTGAGGGTAAAAATTTGCTTTCAGTCTCTCAAGGCTGCTGGTCAGTTAGTGCTAGTCTGTCTCCACCACCTGTGAATGTAAAGTCAGGTGAAATCTCTCAGTAAGTGAATTTGGGTCCTGTGCGCATATTATAAAATACTGTGGGATATGCCTGTGTATGTGTGATCATTTCAGGCATTTGCCATTTCTCAAAGTTTGAGGATTGGTGGTGGTTGGCACTCCTGTCACCAGGTCTACACGCTTCTGTGCAGGCATTTTCAGCCCTGTGCTGGGGGCTCTTCTATGTCTTTTTAGGGAGTTGCTAAAGCCTGAGAAACCTACCTTCTAGGGGAAGTGTCTCTCTCTCTCATACCAACCTGAGCCCATATGGTGAGGTGAGACTCTTGATCCTATGGCCAGAGCCTTAAGGTTCCAACTTGAGTGCCTCCACAGTCCTTCCTTGGCTGTCAATCAGAATGGAATATAGGACAAGATGCAGCACTTGTCTTACTAACCCTGGTTTAATTAGAACTTTGCTAGCTCTCTATAATGCAGGCAGGACCTTCTTTTTGCATTAGTTCTCTGTGATGCAAACAGAACTTTTGCAGAACAGAGGTTATTTGTAAGGGCCTGACGTGACTAATTTCCATACCATCCAGACTTTGTCTCAGCCACACCTCCTGACAAAATGCTGGGCCCTCACCGTTGTAGTCTGCACCTCAACTCACCGTGTCGCCCTTGCCCTGCAGTCTGTAGTGGAGTCTTGCTTCCTGAGCCTCTGCTGGCATCCAGGGAGGCTTCCGCCTGCCTGCACACACCTGCTCAGTATAGCTCAAGGTCCTGAGGCCACTTGCTAAAGGCCCTTTGGGCCCAACCATCAGCAAAAGCAACTGGTTTTGTTTATTTATTTATTTTTTGAGACAGAGTCTCACTGTGTTGCCCAGGCTACAATGAGTGCCGTGGCGTCAGCCTAGCTCATAGCAACCTCAATCTCCTGGGCTCAAGTGATCCTCCTGCTTCAGCCTCTTGAGTAGCTGGGACTACAGGCATGAGCCACCATGCCTAGCTAATGTTTTCTATATATATTAGTTGGCCAATTAATTTCTTTCTATTTATAGTAGAGACAGGGTCTCGCTCTTGCTCAGGCTAGTTTCAAACTCCTGACCTCGAGCAATCCACCCGCCTTGGCCTCCCAGAGTGCTAGGATTACAGGTGTGAGCCACCGCGCCTGGCCTAGGTTTTGTTTACAGGTCCTCTGCCTCCTTAAGAGATGGCCACACTTAAAAATAAAGTTACCATGAGATATCACCTACTGAGGACAAAGGACCATGTGGCCAGAGGTTCCTTGCCCAATCCGCAGACTTAAAAGATGGGCCAGTGTGAGTCTCCACAAGGTGCTATGATCAGAACACTGTGGCCACACCCTGGGGCCCAAGGCCTAAAGCCTCACATGTCCTCATGTTTCTTTCCACCAAAAACCTCTCCAGGTATCTCCTCACCCCTCATCAGTCCTCCTGTTTTATTAATACTTCTCAGTGCTGCCTGCCAACACACTAAATGTCAAGCTCTCTGAGGGTGTTAATAGCAGTCCCTTTCCTGCCTAGGTTCTGAACTACTAAGTGATCATACAGTAAGTAAGAGGTCAAATTATCAAGGCCAGCGTTTAGCTCTGCTTAGTGAAAGGCCAGGTGGGCCTGCCAGCTGAACTAGGCTGCCTTCTTAGCACCCAGTCAGTGGGCCTAAGTCAAGGCCATCCCTGTCTACCCTTGTACCATGCAGCCCCCCCATCCAGCTGCTTCAGGGCCACAGCTCCACAAGGAGGGGCAGTGGGAATGACCTCTCTGAGCAGCTCACTTCCAAGGAGAAGAAACATTGAGTCAGTCTAATTTTCACTTTCTTGTGGAAAGTTTTATTAGTAGCGTATAATTTGTGTGTTAAAAGTGAAATGGATTCCATGTCCCAGACCTGTGAGTATAGAGATTCAGTGTGGAATTATGAAATACAGCTGAGTTCAAATAATTTTAGTAAAACCAAATGCCATTACAACTGCTGAAGTATCTCTTAACTTTCTCATTTCAGATATGGAGGTAGCTCATAGTTCCCAGAGCAGCGAAGCTTTTCGGTTTCAGCCACCATTACCTCCTGGCACTCCTCCTCCACTGCCACAGGGAACTCCTCCGCCCGTCTTCATTCCTCCGCTCCCCAAGGGCACCCCGCCACTGACTCCCAGTGACTCACCCCAGCCCAGGACAGCATCTGCAGCTATGGACGAGGACGCACTGACTCTAGAAGAACTTGAAGAACAGCAGAGGCGGATATGGGCGGCCCTTGAGCAGGCGGAGAGCATGAACAGTGATTCTGATATTCCTGTGGACACACCTTTAACTGGGAATTCTGTTGCCTCGTCACCTTCTCCGAATGAACTAGATCTCCCCGTCCCAGAGGAAAAAGAATCTGAAAAGCAGGTGGTGCTGGATGAGCCTGAGGTACCAGATGCTTGTACAGAGAAATCGGAAGTTGAACATTCCTCAGGTCCCGATGCTGAGGCTACATCGCTCTGTCAGGAGAATGAAGAGTCTGCTCGGGTAGACATTAAAGGTGCTCCTCTTGATAATGGCAATGTCGTATCAAACTGTGACATTAGGAATGGAGGTGGCCAGAAGCTCTTTCACTCAGACACCACTCCTTCCATGGCCACTAAAATTCACAGCCCCATCCCTGACATGAGCAAATTTGCAACGGGAATAACGCCATTTGAATTTGAGAATATGGCAGAATCTACTGGCATGTACCTCAGGATAAGAAACTTGTTAAAGAACTCGCCCCGAAACCAGCAGAAAAATAAAAAGGCTTCTGAGTAACTGCTTGGCATAGCACCAGGAGCTATTTAATTATCTATAACTTTGTCTTCTGTTAATTAGTACTAAGTGGACAGATAAAATTGTTTTCCTATTTGTCCCTCCCGTGTTTAAAATTCTACCCAAGGTTTAATTGTGTTCTCAAGTCAAGCCTATTTTAAAGAATGAGAAGACTGGGCTCACTAGTTTACAATGTTTTATTCTCACTGACAAAAAGTTGGGTGGGGGGGCAAATGTAAGTTTGAGCTGGTTTAGAGGTAGTTTGTTAAGGTTTATACTATTTTTGGATTGTGAGTGTCTGTCAAGAGTGGTTTTTATCTGTCTTTTGTACGTTGTTTTCCCTTTCTACGTTTTGCTAATGATCCTGTATATAAGTTTAATATATCACTTTTTAAAAGAAAAAATTCTAACCATTTTAAATTCATATTTCAACTCAGACAACCAAATGAGAAAAATCAGGGATGAGCAGCTTTATCCATTTGGGGTATTTTTATAAGTGATTTACATGCATCAATTTTAATAACACTTTTACTTTTTTGTAACTTCATTCTGCATATAAGCTTGCTATACAGGTATGTTCATCTTTGTGTACAGAGGTTTAATAAATTAGTTTTCATATACATAATCTAAGACTTTGAATGCAAAAAAAGTGATTCACAGTTAAATTAGTGTATATAACCTTGTAAGTGTGGAGATGAATTATATGGTTGCAAAATTTAGTGATAGCAAAGGAAACAATTATGAAATCGCAAGTTTGGTGGATTTCAGCTTTAAATATAGAAATCGCAGACTCTTTTAAAGCAATTTTGAAAAAAATGAATGGAAGGCAGCTAGCCTTTGTACAAAAATAATTTTCTAGATTTGAACCCTAAGATTATTAATAGTTAAAAATTTTAAAGTAGACAAGCAAATTGCTTTTAATTGTCAATTATATAAGATAGAGCTGAAACTATGGTTTTTGTCTTTATGTGGAATGCCCTTACGTCTTTATACTTAGTCAAGTTCATGAAAAGAAATGTTTAGATGATCTTGAATTACTAGTCTTAGGTAGTGTTACCCTGTTCTCGGGCCAACAGTGGGAGCAAGATAGAACCATTCCAGATTTACTTCTCATTTCTGAGAACTCGAGTAATCAAATTTACTGTTCTATAAACAATAAAGGGAATGAAAATTATATGAATGGGGTGGGGGGCCATTTGTTTTTAAGGCCCCCACAGACTGTGCTAGAAATAGAATAAAATACTTTTGGCTTCTTTTCCCTCTGAGTTTAAGTACATAGTAAAAGCAATGCTTTATGATAAGTTGCACAGTGCTTTTACATACATTATCTGACTCAACATTTCTATCAGGCAAATAATTAAGGAAAAAATAAGGAAAGGGGGGCAGAGAGAGGTTAGAGGGACTTGTCCACATTCAAGAAGTGGTTTTCGAGAGTCCAGTCTTCAACTAAAGACTATTCCCTAAATCATAGTCTAAATGCCCTTTTACGTATTGCATTGGTAGAGTCATCTGTGTATACCAGAAATACCTTGACGGTTACCTTTTTAGCACATACCAGATAACATGTTAAGGTATTTTTGTGCATTCACCCACTTTCACAATCACCACGTTAGGTAGGTATTGTTAACTTCACTTTTTACAGGAAATGCCTAAGACACACAGCTGGTAAGCCACCTAGCAAACTAAATCCAGGTCTCTCCGACCCCCACATCCATGCTCTTAACCACTGTACTGCCTCCCTGTCAAGAGCTCTATAAAAGCACTGATTTCTCAAAAAATTGGCTCCTATTTCTTCATTTGTTCAATTATGTGTTGGGGACACATTTGTTTTCGATGTTGCTCAGCGTGCTTTGGGGCATTAAAAGAAGTAACTCTAGAATCCGCCTTTAAGGAGCTTATATAGCAATGGGAGAAAATGGAGGGTCCCTCTGAGTTAAATAGGACTTAGTGGCCGAGAGAAGACAGCAAGTTACTTGGGCCATTTGGGGGCCGTGGGAGAGTCACGTATGGTATATAAGACTGGCTTCAGATTCCCAGGACTGCTGGTTTAAGTATTCATTTGGCGGGTATTTGAAGATTTCTGGAAAGAGAGAATCCTTTAGCTAAATCCTTAAAGACTAGGTAGGAGGATTCCATAGACAAAATGAGCTTTGAAGTGTACAGGAAACTGCATGAGTAAAGCAGAAGTTAAAACACTCAAAAAATGTAGGGTTGGGGGAAAGACTTAAGAGTTGCATATTCATCGATGCTAAGAACTCTGGATTGCTTTGCTATGCGGTTTGAATTTTACTAGTGAGAAGGATCTAAACATCTTTTTGTAGCAAGTGACCTCATCCAAGTGGTATTTTAAGAAGATAAATCCTAAAGCAAGATTCTGAGGGAATTGAAGAGACAATTTATAGAAGGGAACATGTAACAAATGGGAAGTAGTTGCCTTGAGGGGGGTATCCCATTTTTAAAGTTTATTCTGTTTTCTGTACTTGAGTATTATGATGAGAATGTTGGGTGGAGGAACAAGTTATTGTTTGGACTTGTCCGTGCTCTGACAAATCTCCAGGTGTGGGTAGGTGAGGTAACAACCAAACACTTGCACTTCAAGACGGACTTGGAGCGCAGGTGGGGATCTTTTTCTAATCTCTGTCTTGGGTTAGAAGGAATGTGGATTGTAATACAGGTTGCTGAAACAAGGCCAGCTCTTTGTCTTCACTTCGAGTAGGTAAGTGGAAAGAAGGCACTGCCCTTACTGAAATACAAAATAGCCTAGTTCTTTTTCCAGAAGATTGCATTTTCTTAAGTGGTGAAAATAATTGTCTATTTTCTACTAAGAAGAGGCTTCCTCATAGTTGATTTTATCCTTCAAGTTCTCTGCTGGAATCATTCTGTTCTTCTGGCTTGCACTTTGTAGATTTTCATTAGCAGGCAAAACCAACGAAGGTGTTGTGACAATTTTTAGTATCCAAGTTGCTTGTAAAATGTGACTCAGTTTCCAAGAACCCAATTTTCTTCAGGATTTAGGAAAATTATTTTTCCTTCCACTTAATAGATTCATTTAATTTAATGGTATAAATGCACTTTGAAGTGAATGTTTAGGATTAAATTACAGTATTTTGTTAAAGGAAAGTGTTTACAAATAGTTCTTAATTACAGAGCCATGTCTATATTCTTAGTAAATTAGAAAACTCTGAACAAGGCATGTTTTGTAAATCACCAGCAATCCAGCTAGAATGTTCATATTGGACTGGAGAGGGGAACATGACAGCTATCTAAAAATAGGAAATTAACTTTTTTTTTTTTTGGTCTCCTAAAGAAATGATGGCACGTGGGGGAGGGGAATGGAGTGACACTGTAACAGTACATTAAGCTGAAAGACTCCCTCCCCATTCATTCAGTCTGCAGAGCACCTCTTTGTCATTCACATTTGGATTCTAAATTTGTGAATTTTATGATTTAGAAGACAGCCTCTCTGTAAAATTCATATCCCTTTCCCCTTTATTAGCTGATGTGAAATGTCTACACATCAGATCCAACTTCTAGTCCATTTTCATTTGCCATTAAATTACACCCTTTCTTAGCCTTTTAAAGAATAAAATGGGATGCTTCATTTTTCTTTGTTTAAAATGGTTAATTTTTAAATTGTCAGCAGGAGGAATAATAAAGCCATACATATGAAGGAAAATAAGCCATAGAGGAAACCCACACCATTTTTCTTCAGACAGTATAGAAATTTATTTTCCCAACAATTTTCTAAACATGAAACCTTTTTTTATTCCCCAAAGTGAAAATTTTTGATTTTGTTGCTCGTTATAATACATGTTTGTTCTAAAAAGTCAAAACAGTAGTATAAAGTGAAAGTCCTTTATAGTTACAACTTTTGAAGGAAATCATTGTTCACAGTTTGGTATACTTTTTTCCTGAGCAAATGCATGTACCTAAGTTTTGACTTTTTAAATATTTTGTATATATAAATGTATGTTTTAATATGGGTGAGATTATATACTTTCCATGTCAGTATTTGAAATCTAAGTATTATTCTTAATGGCTGCAAAGTAGTATACCACATTTTATTCAATGCTGTTGACAGTATTTTGTTGTTAATGCTGCAGTGAACATTCTTAAAGGTTGACATTTGAATATTTGTGGAAATATGTGTAGAGGATGCATTCCTAGATTATAAATAAGATCGAATATTTTATGTTTATTGGCAATTTTTTTCTATGAATTCTCTTTATATGCTTTTCTCATTGTTCTGTTGCGTTACTTGGTATATTGTAACTCTTTATAAAAGTTATATATCTTTTGTTAGGTATGCTGCAGAATTATGTTTTCAATTTGTCATGTATATTTTAATTTGTTAATGGCATCTTTTTCTGTACAGAATCTTCAAATTCTTACAGATCAAATCATTGAATCTTTTTCTTTATGAATTGACAGTTTCAATGTGATGTTCTGTTTTCCAAAAACTTTGTTTTGCAAGTTGACACTCTGATATCCAATAATGTGGCTTATTGACTAAACCTGGTATTGCAAAATTAATTCCTCCTAGTATTTACATGGTGTAATTGGTAAGACTAACCCTTCTTACAACTATCTAAATTTATTTTCAGGTCGATAGTTTTACTAATTACCATACAAATTTGGTTCACCGTGCCCTAAATATCATCATATTTTAGATTTTCTTTATGAATAAACTGGAAAGACAATGTCATTTTTTTTTTCCTTTTATTGTTTTTTTTTTTTTACACATGGATAAATGAAAAAAAAATCTAGGAAGAATGATTATAGCAGAATACCAAAAATATAACCTAACCAAAAGAAGGAACAGATCACAGTAAAAAAAATAATAATATATATATGATCCTAATCATTTTATTACATATGTGGAAATGGGAAATTCTGTATACCAGAAATTCTAGATATCAGAATTTTTCTTTTTTAAGAGACTGGGTCTCACTCTGTCTCCCAGGTCAGAGTGCAATGGCACCATCATAGATCACTGCAACCTTGAACTCCTGGGCTCAAGCGATCCTCCTGCCTCACTCTTCCAAGAAGCTGGGACTACAGGCATGCACCACCACACCTGGCTAATTTTTAATTTTTTTTTCAGAGACAGGATCTTGATATGTTGCCCAGGTTGGTCTTGAACTCATGGCCTCAAGCTATGCTCCCTCCTTGGCCTCCCAAAGTGCTGGGATTAAAGGCATAAGCCACTGTACCAGGCCAGAAATGCATTTTTTAAACAAAGTTCACTATCAACAATGTGATGGCTACATTTGGAATTTGTGTAATACAAGGAATTCCTGAAAATGCAAAGGGTGTAACCTTACTCAGTTCTCTACCATGCCACACAGCTGAGATTGCTCCCTATGGGGGTGACCTCATACCAGAGTGTGTTCTTAATGTTTGCATTAAGAATCGCAGAGGCTAGTTCATTAGTCATAAGTAAGAATGACAAATTAAACTAGGTTAGAACAGGTTGTGGGATTAGACTCAGGGCAAATTTCTCATGGGTTTATAATAAATTTTCCTCTGTTGTCCCGGCCCGTGGGACCTTCTGTTACTCCCGGGGGCCAAGGGGGACCTTGCCTGAAAGAGATGGGCGAGAGAAAGGAACGAGACCAAGCAAAG